ACTATCAAATAGCTATGAGACCCGAAGATATACATAAAACCGCGTTTATAACAAAATCGGGCACTTATGCATTTTTACGCATGCCCTTTGGGTTGTGTGGGGCCCCATCAACATTCCAGAGAGCTATGGACATTGTTCTAAAGCCTGTCCTAGGAAAATCAACTTTAATTTATCTAGATGATATAATTATAACGAGTAGTACGTTGGAACAACACATTAATGACCTCGAACAAGTTTTTAAATTATTAAAAGAGGCCGGTCTTACAATTAACGCCTCAAAATGCAAGTTCGCAACTAAAGAACTTAAATATCTCGGTTATAAAATTTCGCAAAAGGGTATAGAAACGCAAGATTCAAAAAAATAAAAGCTATTAAGAATTTCCCACCGCCCAACACCGCCAAGAAACTTTCGTCTTTCCTTGGATGTTTCTTACTATCGATCTTTCATAAAAGATTTCGCTAATATTGTTGAACCACTCTTAGTAATCAAAAGAAAAAAGAGTAAATTTACGTGGACAGCGGAAGCTAACACAGCTTTTGAAAGATTAAAAGAAGCGCTTATTAATGCCCCTGTTTTAAAATTCCCTGAGGGGGACGAAAACCTGGAAATTGCAGGCAGATGCGTCAGACTATGCGGTGGGTGCGGTTCTTATGCAAAATAACCATCCGCTGGCATTTTTTAGTAAAACATTGAATCAGAACACAAAGGAATTATACAGCTACAGAAAGAGAAACATTAGCCGTATTAATGGCTGTACACAAATTTCGAGTTTATTTCGGCAAATCGCCAGTAACAGTCTTTTCGGATCATGCGGCTGTTGGTAGACTTTACTCGGGAACTCGGGAAAAACCTAACGCCCAGGTTAATAAGATGGGCTTTAAAACTCCAAGAATATAATATCACAATAAAATATAAACCGGGTAAGGAAAACAATGTAGCTGACGCACTTTCTCGTATAAAACTGGACGATGAAGGAAATGAACTTAAATGCGCTGTGTTGACTTCAAAAATTTTAGATTCTAGAGATACGGTTATTACTGAACTGAAAGCTGATCCTGAATTTGGAAATATCTATGCTTATTTGAAAGACCCCGAAAGCTTTGAGCATACAGATATCGATGCGATAAGAAATAGAGCAAAAAACTATGAAATAATAGATAATTTATTATTCTATACGAAAACAACAAACGAAAATCTTGAAAATCTTGAGTATAAGCCAGTCATCCCAGCCTCGCTTCGATTAAGCATTTTGAAGGAGTTGCACGAAAAAAAAACAGCGGGCCACCTCGGGGTCAGAAAGACTTTAAAAAGGGTACGCGAGGCGGTATATTTCCCGCAATTATACAAAATAGTAACGGCGTATGTCAGGTCCTGCAATCAATGTCAGTTAATAAATGATATTAATTACAGCCCGGCCGGGTACTTAAATAGCATTCGCGCTACATTTCCGAATGAAATTTTAGGCATAGATCTCCTTGGTCCCTTCCCCCAGAGCGAGTTAAATAAAAATCGTTTTCTTTTAGTAATAGTAGATCATTTTTCAAAATGGATAGAAATTGTTCCACTTAAACGCGCGTCAGCCAAAACAGTCGCAGATGCATTCTTACACAGATACATTTTAAAATACGGTGCACCGATAAAAGTCATTAGCGATAACGGAAAACAATTCATTAGTCAAATATTTGAAAACATATGCAATGGACTTGGCATACGCCATATCAAAATGGTTCCGTATAGACCACAGGCTAACATAGCAGAAAGAGTTAATAAAAACATAGTAAAAATAATTCGCAGTTACGTTAGCACACATCACAAGCGCTGGGATGGCTACATAAATGAATTAGCTTATGCTTTAAGAACGGCACATCATGATACTACGGGAAAAACTCCAGCAGAATTATTTTTAGGCAGAAAGTTAATTACGCCTTTAGATAAATTATTCTTTGTGCAACAAAGAGAGCAGGAGTTTAAAAAAACAAAAAGATGTGCAAAAGCTTGATTGATCAGGCGCTTAAAACCTCGGATACGGCAAGAAATAGGCAGAAAATATTATTATGATAGAAAACGCCGTGAAGCAGATTTTAAAGTTGGGGATAAAGTATTGAAGCGGAAATTTTCTTTATCAAGTGCCCCAGACAATTTTATGGCAAAGCTAGCTCCAAAGTTTGAAGGCCCCTATGTAATTCAGGAAATCAAAGGTAGTAGTTATATCTTAAAATCTTATCTTAAGAACGAGAGAGGGGAAATCTGTAAAGCAAGTCCCGACCAGGTGAAAAAATACTATAATCCAAATGATTTTGAAATCCTTAAAAGTTTCTTGCAGGACTCAAGTCTAAACGAAATAGAAGGGCCAGAGACTGCAACAACTATTCCACCACCCAAGAAACAGAGAACTGAAGAGAGACCTAGCACTTCTACAACCCGGACGTCGGTATCAAAAAGAAAAAATAATTTTCAAACTCCGGCGTTTAAGAAAAACAAAAATACAGATGAACCGGGTAAAGAAACCGTGGTAAAGAGAAAAACACCACCTACAAAGGATGGCAGGAGAAATTACACATCAAGGAGAACGCGCACACGGCCACAGAGTCAGGTGCCAGCAAGGCCGCCGTTCCGGAAACTGAAACGCCAACAGGAGGCACAAAAATACGAGGAACAGAAGAAATTCAAGAAGGACTCCAGACCGGAGGACGTCAAGACCAGCCGTCCCAGGCAGAAACGGAAAGGCCAACAACCAGACGATTACTCCCGTCAAGAGGCCAGCATGTAGAGGACGCAAAAGAAAAAGCAACGTGGACGACACTCGGAGATCAATAAGGAGAAGATTGACATCCATGAAACCTCTAACTTGGGATCAATTTTGCCAAAAACGGATGACGGAGTTTCAAGCATCGAAAACTCAAAGATAAGTTAAAACCTTCTATAAATTTTTTTCTCTTTTGTTCCGAAATGTTATGCATAAGTACGAAGTTCTATGTTTTGACGAAAGTCAATATGTCTCGGTTGAGACTTAGTTTTGTTTTACTTTATTTAGCTAAGGCAAAAGTATTATTTTCTTTAAGTGTAAAAGCTAAAAACAAGCATTTTCTGTTGGTCGAAAGACTAATTCTGTTATGTTAAAGCCAAAATTTGGCCGGAAGATAAAAATAACTTCGTATTCTTGTATTAATAAGAATTTTAGTTTCAGTGCCGCCAGCTTGGCGAAGAATGAGTAAAGTAAAAATTTATTTTCTCTTATTCATTTTATGGTAAATTGTAAAAAGCATATGTATTAAAATTTTGTAAATGTATGTAAATACTTGAATGTTATGTAAAAGTAGAATTTAGTCTAGAAGCATAAAATTGTAGATGCTAAAAGTGAATGCTTAAAAGCAATGAAGTCAAAATTTAAGTATTAAACTGTAAAGTCATGCTTTAGAGCGAAAGCCTGCATGTTTAAAGATGAATGAGGGGGAAGTTAGAATGAATGTGTTTTGTAGGGTTCTCCACCTACATTTGAATTTTTAAGAATATTAAAGTAGCTCATTGAGTTGTAGAATGTCGAGTAAGGTGTGTCTATTTGGTCGTTGAATTCTAACAAATCATGGTGGTTAGGGGAAGTGTTGTAAGACTAAAACACGAATATTCCCGTTTGACACCACACACGGTGGAGAGCCAGGGTAAAGTTAAATTAATGCTTGAAAAATTGAATGAATGTGAAGTAAGCAATAACTAAGAAAAACGAATCGTTTAAAAACAAAAATTTATTGTGTCAAGAAAGTGTAAATTATAATGTATGTAGAAAGATACTGATACTTATTCCTTCCAGATGCTGGAAGGAAAGACCAAGATTGATTGATGAAGTCCAGGAAAAGTTGCTGTAAGAATAGAGCTTTATAACGAGCAACAGAATTTTAATATATAATTGTTACATAAGATTTTTTTTTGTGTAAACGAGGTTCTCGCCAGTTAGTTCAGAATTAGATAAACTTACAACAGGTCGTTTGTAGGACCTGCTTCCAAGTTTTCCAAATTCTGGCAGCGGCAAATGTAGGGTTTATATTTATTTTAACTAACATTTATTTTAAGTTTAAACTATCTTTCCTGTCAAGCCTTACTTTCCCCTGGAACTGCCAATGCCAGAATATGTAAATTTGAGTAGAACGCGCAAGGATTCAAATTACCAGCGGAAGTAGTATTCTGATTTAAATAGAAGGAAACGAGTTCGGTGTGATATTCTTACTTCAGCGAGCGCGGAGGTAGTTAGCGAGAATTGAAGAACCCCGCGTTGCGGCCTATGTGCTTGGCGGGAAGTAGTGGTTAATCGTTCCAGTGAGCTTCAAGTCTGCTGAATTAGCAGCGGTATTGTAAAACGCGGTGAGTTAGTTATTTTAGAGAGCCTCGTAGTTAGAATCTTGTCTTTACTTTCTTTTCAGGTTTTATTATTTTATTTGACTGCCGAGTTGGCACAGTCTGTAAGCGTCAAGAGCAACGCAATTGTAATTTATTACGTTGAATAAAAAGGGACTTAAACCCTTCACAAGACTCTGTCTTTTTATACAAGTTTTCACAGTCACCTCTTGGTTGCGTGCAAGTTGGAGGCGCGCAACGTTATAAATTTTTGGTGACCAATCTACTGAGCATTAAACTTTTTAGTTCAATTTTAAATTATTCATACTTTATTTTTACGAATTCATTTAACACAAAAAACATAAGCAGTATTCGACGAGACCTCACCCGGCTTGAACTACCAGTATTCAATGGCTCTATATGTTCAGCTATTAATGGGTTGCATTTAGAGGCAATTTCAAAGCATACACTTTGTAATGACCTATAGTAATATGTTAATTGAAAGACATTGAATATCCAGTAAGTCATGAAGCATTTTTAAAATTTGTTTAAAGGTAATTCAGTTGTAAGACATACAACTTCTATGATGGAAATTAGCAAAGATCCTTGGATAATATTGAATAACAGTAATTAAAGAAGAAAAAAAGAAAGAAAAATATAGCATACAGACCTTTGCCCTGTGTATGTGCTGATTCTGGTATTCAGAGTCGAACTCAGGTTCAGAGAAGTAGCTCAGTTCCTGTTCCCACGTGCTGTACACTTCGCCGTTCGACTCCTGTTCATAAATTCGCAGCACAGATCTATCTCGAATATCCCTGTAAAACAACACAAAAATACCTTTTTATTATATTTGCAAGCACCGTTTTTCAAGTTGGCCATTTTTGTACACTGTTTCTCTTTGAAAATCGACTGCAAAATCCGAAGTTTATCCATATATACATTGACAGCTTCCAGAAGTATAAAATTTCTTAATTTTATTTATCTCATAGTTCTGAAACGTAAAATGTCATAAATAACTAATATAACTGGCAGAAAAAAAGAATTTAGAATACTAATTTTAGAATTTATCAGATGGGTCTGAAGAAATTCTTCATGTAGATAATTCCAAAAAAGATAGCTACAAGTTTTCCTTAAATATTATTTCTAGACACGTACGTAATGACAAAATTTCTCAAAATAAAGTAGATATTTTATAAAATCAATTTCAAAGAGTATTCTATGACAAAAAGCAAAATTTAATATCATCCTTGCAGAAAAGTAATTCCACTTAGGAAACTATTCAATATGCTTTCGATATTTAATATGCAGTTAAATATAAAATATTTTATACTTTCATACGCTAATTTCGTTTATCATTTCGAGAATAAATTTACTGATTTCGACATTTTCCAGGGACTGTTAGCAATTGAAGTTCGCAACTTTTTTTACCAACTTTAAGCAATAAGAAAGGAAAATTATTTATCATTTTGGTTACTAATGGTATGTGTTAAAAATATTCGTTATTAAATTTGAATAATTAAGCGATTCATTTTTGAGTAAAGTCATGAGAATTTCTTTTGTTAATTTATTAAAGTAAGTTTGATATTTTACAGATTAGAAATTTGCATTCTTTTACAGAAAAAATATTGTTATACTTATAACAATATCCCACTATCGGAGCTAGAACAACCGTCGTAAATTCCTTTACCTTTGGACATTATTAAAAATAAGTTACATATATTATATGGTATTTCTCCCGCCTTATCAGCACGCTCGACACTAATGTCGAGAGGTCCATGGTTTGAGTCTCGGCGAATGCGTTACTCATTTTTCACATCTCCTGCTTCTAAATAAACTAATGTCTCTACAGTGGCGTCCGAACTAAAAGTTGGTGAATGATGATTCTTCAACACCAGGATTTGGAGACCAGGGCCCTTAATCCTCAGTCGCCCTTTAAAAGGGGGAGTATATAAGGTATTTGTCCCGCATTTGTAGTGTCGTTGTCAGCACGCTCGACGCGAATTCGAGAGGTCTGTGGTTCGAATCCCGGCGAGGGCACTGCTCATTTTTCAATATTCCTGCTTCTAAATAACTTAATGGCTCTACAATATAAGATCAACATTTAACGAAATAATATACATTATATGTATAGCATCACTTAAGTCAGCGTTTCTATCTATGGTCCGTGGACCACAACTGGTCTTCGAATGCTTCCTAGATTTCCAAAAAAGAGGCACTGGAAATAACAAACTATCAATGAATGTAAGCGAACATTGAATTGAACTGTAGAATGACATCGGACTTGAAATGAAGTTCCAAGCCAAAGATATGGGTAGTTTCTAGACCTTATTACTGATGAAAACAGAATTTAATGAACTCTAAAATGGTGATTTAAAATTTTAATTCACTTTGCTCCTACGTATTTGTATGAGATGGGTTTCAGAATGAAGATTTCAACCGATTACTGGCATACATTGAAACACAGAACAGCTGAGTAAGAATCATCTAACTCATAATGTGAGTATACACACTTATTTAATTTTTAACTTTTGACATTCCTGGTAGATGTTCTTGGTACGCAAAGTAAATTAAAACCATCAGCGTGGTATAACTAGTTGATAAGTACGTTTTTCAAGTGGACCAGCCGCCACGTTGGCGGAGAGAAAATAAGTAAAAGTTAGTAAGATAAAGATTATTCAAACTATAATGGTCTTGGTGATGGTTAGAAATAAATATAAATTTTCTCTTTTTACTTAATTAATCAATACCAACATATAAGTAAATGAAATCTAATTAACTGCATTTTGAAAAATAACGTATACTGGTAGTAATATCTGCTAAATTATTGATTTGGAAGGGGACCAGAGTCAGGAGTCCACAGAACATTCTAATTTATAAAAGTGGTCACCACTTGAAAAACATTTGAGTAACGCCGACTTAAGCAACTAATGACACCTGAGAAGATTCTTACGTATGTTTTAAGCGAAGAATAATATATTTAAAATTCATATTATTTTGTATACGCTGATATTATATTTAAGTGAACACTTAGTTATATGAAAGCCAAATATATACAGGAGTTAGAAATTTAATAATGATCACGGTGATACACTTAAATACAGGAAATACATTCACTTTCACTGTCTTTCTGTATAGTCTCCAGTGTTCTTCATGAATGCTAGAGACTGGACTGACTCTTTTTCCATCCATCAGTCTATAAAGGAATCTTTTTTTTTGTCTATGTGGTAACTTCAGAACGTTGTTAACAGTTCCAGATTTGATGATGTCAAGAATAGAGCAACGATTCGTACGTATTAATACCAGAAACCAAATGAAAATGGAAACCTCATAGAGGTTCTTGAGTTTATGGAATAAATCTAAGCTAAGGAGATAAAGATCTAAAGAGCATGGAAGGTGGAATAATTCTTCCCATCCTCATCTTGCTGCAGGTCGAAAGCAATAAAAAACTATATGAGAACGAAAATTATCATAGAAATTAAAGAATGAATTGATCAGAAATGTAATGCTGTTTATTCCACAGGACTTCAGACAAGCTGTGTTGTAAGTAATATGCACAGTACGCCGTATTTGTAGTGTTTTCACTAGGTACGTCACAAATAGTAGCATGAGCATCTCTTATTGAGCATTTCAGGAATATAATCTTCTAGAAGTCTGTTTTACTAGTTAATTCTTTGTATTCTTTATGTACTGATATCTATTAAAAATTCACAAACGAGCATATTTCAGTCATTGTTCTTAATTAAGGAGTAACTTTTCCTAAATTTTGAACTAGACATATGTTTCAGCAATTTAACATTTTTGACTTAAAGGTGTAGAAAGTGAGAAATGCATAGCGTATGCTTGTTAACGTCGACGTTGAATGAGACACAGAAATATCTACCTCAGGTCTTCTAGCTCATAGAACATGTCTTTGGCGGGATCATGGATGTAGATGCGGATATGGGGTGAATCTAAATATTCCATGGTCAGCTGCTTAGGGAAGGATCGCACGAAGAGGGCCTTTACGGTGTCCAGCGTCGTGATTTCGTTCGGCAAGAGAGCACGCTTCGTTTCGCTGCGGTACTGCAGGAACACCAAACCTAAAAGGAGACAAAACGTACAAAATTGCATTGAGTTTTTATTAATTTTCATATAAACTAATTTCATCAATTTCAATACAATTCCTACAGACATCATTTTCGATTTATTCTTTTACCCAATGTAGTATTCCAATCTTAATAAACTTAAACATTACTTAATAATTGGATATATTCGTCAAACTCGAAAGACCTCTAAGTTTTGCAATAAAAATTATGCACTGAAAATAGTGATTCAGATTGCTAAAGAACATATCGAATTTTGACTTATAAGGAATTTTTAACTTTCTAACTAGCTGTTTTTTATTTTTCTCTTTTGAACTAGCTGTTTTTTTATTTTTCTCTTTTGTTACTTTCATTCATTCTAGAAACATGCAAATTAACAAGTAAATAACATGTAAATATGGTTGATTAAGTTTAATATCTAATTAAATCTTTGTTTTTAATAATATCTGATTTCAATCTCCCTGTTTCTCTGTCTATATGATAATGTGTAAGAGAATGTTAAACGTCTCTATTGAGAGAGCGAAAATCAAGTTCAAAATAAGAATGGCTAAGGTTAGCTATTTTAAAATTATGATGTGGAGTAGGCATACAGCTCTAGATTTTAGTCAAATTATAGCATTACTATAAACAGTTATTTGGAATTTATAATTATTTGTACGATTTCAAATCGTAGCAGTTTATTATTTATTTAAAGTAAATTAAATTGTTTTGTTACATAGATTTATGAGCTTTTATCAAGCTTCAGTTTGTTTTCTGAAGTGAAAACTACAACGTGAAATAAAGCAGACAAGTGTCTAAAATATTTCCCCTTTTTTAAGAATTTCTCGATTAGTGAGGTATAAATTTTCATTTTATATCTTTTATTTCTTAACAATTAAAAATGACCTTTGAGTTTGTCTTTGAATATGACATTTACCCTTTGACATACGAATAAAATTCAAAGCTGATGAGCTTAAAATTATAGAAACAATACTTTGCACTGTAAAAGCAAACACTCTAAATATCTATAATAACTTTAAAATTTCGTACTTTATAATCCAAACTCGTTTTGAAGCGACTATATTTTCATGACGGTTGAGATGCGTCAAGATCTGCTTTAACATAAATAATAAATGACGCATTCTAGACGCCATTATATGTCAAAGGGTTTTAATATTATTTTTTCCTTCAATTTCTGAAAATATGTGTTCTTATTAAGGAGTTTATAATAAATGCATTATTATCCTTTGATAGTGAACGCAGTATTATCAAAGGCACAAATGAGAATTTTGACTACTTATTTCCAAATACATTTGTTACGTAATGAGTATAATATCCATTGAATTCATCTTTCTCTTTTTTTTATTTCTCCCCATCTGTTTTGACCAGTAAATTGAGTATTTACAAAGCTGAAGCTTCGTAATTGCTACATTTTAATTGAATGAGTAGTTCTGGAAACATTGCAACACACATTTACTTATCGTCAGCACGATGAAAGACAAGAGACGACATTTTTGACAAAATGACTTAAAGGAAGGTTTAGTATAACTTAACTATAGGTGATAAATCAGCACAAACTATGACTTTTGAGGCATGTTTACAGTTGTTGTAACGTACCTTGACATCGGTAATGGTCTAGAGATGTGTATTTGGAAGACACATCACGATCAGATTCATTAAATAATCCTCCCATCGTCTATGCAATGGAAACGTAAATCCCTAAATTCCAAAATCGCCGTAACTATCCATTAATGAGATAAAAGTTGCTACTACTGTCTCATCGTATCTTACTAACCGAGCCATAATCTTTCGCATAATCTCTAACATTGATAAGAAAAATTTAGAAAACCGACTTTCAACAAACCAAGTAGTGATTTCCGAAGCGCATCGCAACAAAATATTAATGATGACAGGTTGCTGGAAGAAACATTACTGGTACATAGACTTCAACTAAATATTAATTGCTATGGCATACAGACCTTTACAAACGAAAACTCAAAATTAATGAAAATTAATAGCATCAAATACTTGAAAAATCTGTCCTAAACAAAGTATTAAACTTAAAGCTTACAAATCTAACTACTTTATGGCATTCAGGTATCAGTCAGCTAATTCTTACCTACCTCACACTAACTTTTAAAAGACTAATAAATTCACTCCTAAAACACACCACATAAGGAGCACTATGCCATCATTGATTTTGCTCTGAAAATAGAATAAAAAATGAACTGATCTCTTTAAATGCTAGTCGCAACGCTATTTAAACCCATTTTAATTTACATTCTGCTGAAGCCCGGCAGAAAAACAGACAAGCCAGAGGAGAATTAACATAAAAATAACTGGCTATTTAATTAGAACTTACTCGTACAAGTTTACTTTCTATTTAGTTTTTCATGATTTTGATAAGTTTGGAATAACTTTAAAATAATACAGCAACTAAAGTAGCAGATTGATCTTTGCATGATACACAAAGGACTACCGAAATGCAACGCACAGTGTTTCTTTTGCCAAAAGTTTAAAAGCTAGACAGAGCAAAAGTTATACACAGTGAAATTATGTATTTAATCTATTTTGCAACATAAGAAAGGTTACCATCTGGTCATTTCTTTAACTGTGGCGCCAGTTTCAATACAGATTTTTAAAAATCCATTTACTGGCCTAAAACGATCTGCAGACGATTACTGCACTTCTTCGGTCGAATAGAAGATTTATTCCCATGTACATACATTGGCTGCGCCACAAAAATAACACATGTTTGAGTGTAATCTTCACGTGAAAAACTATAACTCATAACCCATTTTCTGAATGACTGCTAAGAAAACCTACTGAAATTCACAAACATACAGGTATTTATTTATTTACTCCTTGAAGAAATTCCTGCAGAAGGACAACGCTTCCTTTCGGCTCTCGATTTGTTGAATGGCTAGAAAATCGACTTTGATAAACAAAGTATAATAAAAATGGCGACACGATAGAAGACATTTTTAGGCTTGCGTCTTATGTTGAAATATTACTAAAACATGTAATTTTAAACCTCTATGAACTTTAAGACTCGGCTCTTCCAAGTAGCGTTGGTGTCTAGGACAAATAAATTTTGAATAACGTAATTCTCCACCCGAACATGAAAACTGAAAGCCCGAGTTTTGAATTTCGAATTTTACATTTTGTAGAATTTTAGTCAATTTTTGATTAACAAACTCAACAATTTAAAAGCGACACTGTACAGACTACCCAAACCCTACTGTACTCACCCAAAACAGTGGCAACACTGTACGGAATCAATTACTTTTATCTCCACGACGCGAGACTGTTTGTTGGAAATTCTAAAGCTATACTGCTTTTAAATGTTTTGCTGTTGAATTGAATTTTATGTGGCGTAAGTTCGAGAACATAGTATTTAAAAATTGTTAATAATAAAAAGACAAAAAAAGGTTTTAAAGCCACCTTACTAAGAAAACTGAATGTTGATATGATGAAATGGGTAAAGACTAAACTTAAAAAAATGCATGCCAGTACTTAACGCTGTATCGAGAATTCAAAACATATGCTACTATGCTGCTTTTACAATTTTTGTAATTTGGCTGTTGAATTGGACACGACGTACGTGCGAAGAAAAAGATGTTCTTATGCTGCTTTTACAATTTTTGTAATTTGGCTGTTGAATTGGACACGACGTACGTGCGAAGAAAAAGATGTTCTTATGCTGCTTTTACAATTTTTGTAATTTGGCTGTTGAATTGGACACGACGTACGTGCGAAGAAAAAGATGTTCTTATGCTGCTTTTACAATTTTGTAATTTGGCTGTTGAATTGGACACGACGTACGTGCGAAGAAAAAGATGTTCTTATGCTGCTTTTACAATTTTTGTAATTTGGCTGTTGAATTGGACACGACGTACGTGCGAAGAAAAAGATGTTCTTATGCTGCTTTTACAATTTTTGTAATTTGGCTGTTGAATTGGACACGACGTACGTGCGAAGAAAAAGATGCTTTATTAAAAAGCAAGAAGGACAAAACGAAATGGGTTAACAGAAGTGACCTAAACGAAATGAGTTAGCAGCAACAGACTAATAGTCTGACGACTCAACGAAATCGTAAGAGAACTTTAACAAACTCAACAACTGCCTGTGTTATTCCGTTCATGTCTATGTTAAGTAGAGGTATCTGGCTTAGGTTCCTCGACCTGACTAGCCTCTATTTTTTGAAGGGTAATTTAGACAGATACAGTACGTTAAAACGATATTTCTTAAACTGTCGTATCTGTTTTTCAAGATATACACGTCTGATTGAACGCTTATGCCTATTACCTTAAATGCAATCTGAAAAAATTAAAAACATAAGAAAATACGTACTTTTCCGTTTTGCCGGCTTAGGCGCAGGAATGGTACAACTGATGCCAAACGTAATATCCTTGCTGGTAACTTTTTACGCCTAAATTTCAAAACAATTCGCAGCTATTTCTTATCATATTGATTGTTTCTTTCAATACTGGCATACAATTACATAGAATTTTTACCAGATAGTTCAGTTCTATGCTCTAAGGCCATTAGCGGTAATTAAATCAATTAGGATACAATCATACGGCTCAGATGCAGGAGAAAATACAGAAAAAGCAAAGTCAAGGGTTAATTTCATCAATTGTAATGAGAATGCGCTAGCGAAATAAAGCACTGTAGTTTTACATGATTTCTGAAAAAGCTATTCGCACTAACTGAAATAATTCTTGCATTTAAACTTGTATTCCAAACTAAGATTTAAGTTGAAATTAATGTAGATAATTACTGAGATAATTAGATTTTTGCAGTACAGTTTACGTGAGATGAAATTACTTGGGGTCTCGTGATATGAACCGTCGAATCAGGATGTTGAACCATGAAAGCATAGTAAATTCTTAAATTGATCTCTTTTTACAAATTTATTGTGTTCATTTATTGGCTTTTTACAAAATTTTAAACGATATTAAAATGAAAAAAATTCAAAATAAAAAAATTCTTAGAATTAATATTTGTTAAAATTT